TCCTCCCATCCCCCTCCACCCTAATCCTACGAGAGAAAATATAGTGCAGCCATTTTTGTAAGGTTTAACTCAAAGGAAATGGAGAGGGACAGACGCCTTCATTTTGCGAAAAGCTGATCTCACCTATGTTCCTTATGGACGGTGAAAAAGCAAACTTCAGTTTTCCAGGTTCTTGTGAAATCTTTAGGAAATTAAAGTGCTTATTTTGTTCAATATCCTTATTCAGAGGGCTGAGTATCATAATTATATAACCAAGCCTTTACTTTGTTTCCTTTAAGATCTTTATTTTTATTCAGTAATAACTTGACGCTAACAACAATTATGAATAATTCAAAATTGAACTCGTCAATCGCGATCTCGCCTAAATCTGTACTAAAATTAAAAAAATCCGATCATTTTCTCGCAGATCTTACTGAACCAGGATGTACCCCATGGCAGGAATGGTCTTGTCTCCATTGTCACCACCGTGTCGCGCTACATTCCCACAGGACTGGTTGTTGTCAGGATATCCTGCGGTACCAAATCCAATCCTGGAGTCATTGGTGAGGCAATCGTTCTCGTTGTTACTAGTAATACCAATTCTTGCCTTTGAATTACTATCTCTGTCGCCCTGAGCATTGAACCCTTCCCTGTTACAATTGCGTTGTAAGGAGGCGTCGGAGCCAATAAGATTCTTCCACTTGTCACGTCCCAATGAGGTGGCACGATATTTGCCATCAGCGATCAGTGAATGAAGAGAGGTTGCCTGTTGGTCGATGACTTGGAAATTGAGTTTATTTCCGACCTTCATACCAACACAGATCTTTGAAAAAGGTGTTTTCCAGTAAGTCGATAACTTTGTTTCATGTGCGTCAAACCCAGTTTCCCCACCATGGGTGTTGAATGTTATGAGGTCGGTCCACAGGGCAGAATCATAAGTGAAGTGTTTCTGCAACATTTAAAATATTGAAAGAATGAATGAATGAATGAGTGACTAAGTGAATGGAATGAAGAAAGAGATGAGTGAATAAAATGTGTGAGTGAATTGGTAAACCCTTAGAGGAATTAAAACCCCTTCTGCTCTAACATATGATCCATGACGACCTGTCATGATTTTGCTTCCTTTTTTTTGTTTGTTTGTTTTTTTGCTTTTTTATGGCCCTCGGCTTCGCCTCAGCCATTTCGACCGAAAAAACTTGGGCAATAAATGATTTATTATATACTAGAGAAAATTTTTGCTTTGATAAAAATCCAGAATGACTTGTCTATTTGGAGAGCCGGTAAAGAAAGCCACTGTGTTTGTAGCACGATAAACCCAGGGTTGTTTGTTTATTATCATTACTATTCTTTTGACTGTCTTCTGCCACTTTTTGCGACTTCGTAGCAGACGTTGTCCAAACGCTGCAAACTCTGAAAGTCCACTCCTCGCACCTTCTTTCTTGGGCGGGATCAAAGCGGGCACGATGAGCCATCAAAGACCACCGTTTTAATATTTTGATCATTGTTGCCGTATCTCGTACCTTTTGTCCGTCCATTTTCATAACCATCGTCCAACCACCTGCTCCGCAGCCTTCAAGCGGAGTCACCTGGCAGTAAACGGGAATCTCTTTGCCTCCAACATCCAGCTTGTATGTCCTGTCTCCATCGGACCTGATTGGAAAACAGCACTATTTTGTCCTCATGATTTTTATTAAAAAGAAAAGGCCCCCAAAATAACATTTTCGACTCAGAATTCCAGATACCTTTATTAGATCCAAATTGAGTTGTATTGCAATCTATATATTGAATCTTCTTCGATGGATTTAAAAACTAGTGAGTGGGCGAGCTGTGTTGCCTTTGTCCTTTTATAGGAGAAGGGGTTGGATAGATGCCACCCTGCACCCACCCCACCTTTTTTATTTTTTCTTATTTTTTTTTTCTTTTTTTCGATTACATGAAGAAGATTTTCACTGGGTAACTGTCCAATTCAACAGCTGTTTGTTTATCTTGAAGACGCATTTGGTGTAAAATTGGCGAAAATCGGCTCCTACATATAGGAGATATTAGATAACAAGGCGCTGAAAATATTGCAGGGTAATGAAAATGCCGAGGAGAGGGCAGGGGAGGGGAGGAGGGGCTCTCAACCTTCTCTCTGTTGTACCACGGTGGGGGGTATGATTTTGCATGTACATCCGAAGGTTGATACTTTGCTGCTTCTCAGGTGAAATGTCTCCAAACTTTGAATATCATGTACTGATGGACTGTCCTTTCTAGGAACTGATTGTTTCCAATGCGATCCCCAGCTGATCTATGAAATTTCCAGTTTTTGATGGCCCATTTTCCTCTTAGCACACCCATGCCGAGTGCGTCATTAAGACGACTGGGGACCAGACTAGGAGCAGTCTTCAGTTTCTATTTCTCGCGCGCCTCGCTTTTGACAGTTCATGTGGTGCCAAGATAACTGAAGAGGAGTCAGTTCCGATGTGGAGCTCAGCATCAAACATCAGCCCTCGCCGTCTTAGAATTTGCAACAGTTAATTATTATACCTGGTGACAATTTGAATTCAGCTTCATAAATTACTAACCTTCCAGTGTCCACGATTTCCTTGCACGATTTGGGCGTAGACTTAAGTCCTTGACCTGGCAGAAAGTATCAAAAAGCAAAAGACAAATGTGATATCACAGAGTTTCAAGTGGATTTGCCGCTCATTTCCTGATAAATCTCTCATCATAATTTCCTCTTAAAGTTTATTGGAAGGGAGGAATATGTATCTTTTAGGTCACCCAGTCCCAAAGTGGTCCCACACAGTCATTAAAACAAAACGGTTTTTGTTAAGATTTCACTCAACCCAAGTGGCTCACAAGGTGACTTAACCCCCAGTATTTTTTCTAGGTATTAGTACCTGTAACAGTCCAGGGTGGAGAGACATACTGTGGAAATTAAGTTCTGTGTTTTTTAAAACACAACACAATATACCTGGCCAGGCTTCGAGCCTGGATCTCTCTGCTCATAGTTCAGCGTGCAAACTATTTGGCCACCACGTGTTCAAAATTTACGATCAAGAAGTAAAACAATAAATAACAAAAAGACGAATAACTAGGAAAACAATGAAAACAAAAGGTTGGTGTTCTTGATGTGTCCTCTGTCTTCTACACCGAGAAGAAGCATGGTTTGACGCTGCTCTGGTTTAAAGCCTTAATGAATGTAATCATTATTGTAAGGTTGATGTATTGTAATTTCCCCGATTACTTAATTACTCGGGTTTTCATAGGAAAGCCCGAGTCTCAAAATGCAAGCCGTTCTTGGTAGCCAAAAGCGGGGTCAAGGTCCCAGGCGTTCCTTGCGTAAACCGTGGAAACTGGGGATGAGAGTGCGATAACTTGTGTTATTATGTGCTCGCTCTTCGTAAACAACATAATTTACAGAATGTTGTGTTTTGTGAAAACCGCTTTGCAAAGATTCACGTCTTATACGCTTATCCCATATGCAAACGCACACGCCTTTCGTGGTAAGCCCACGCTAAATGATGTCAAGTGTTTTCGGAATGGGCCGGTCCACGAACTTCATAGCTTGCATGAAAGTTAGCCACATGCGCAAAGTTCACACTAGTTGTCACGAGATAACAAATGAGCCATATGTGAGTTCAAACTACGAAAATACTGGCAAAACTGTGACGCCAATTTAACAACAGACTCTGATGCTGAGACGAACACTTCACTCGCTGAAAAAATCAAGAATGTTTGTGAACGCAACTTCGAAAGGTAGCACTAGTAACAACGAATTGGATAAGGATACTGACAGAAGCAACTTGAATAGTAAGGTTAACTATATAAGCTTAGCTCTTCCGTTAAATGTCTCATTTCTGTTATTGGTCAATACTTGTAAAGTACGATTTGGTGTTTCGTACATAATCACTATTATTAGTGTACAAGCGATCGTGAATGTTGATTTGCTCTTCGCGTGGATTTGTATATGCTTAGTAGAAGACGTGATGAACAATGTGTAGAAAAATTTGTCAATATGTCTAATGCACATGAACATAACGATGTTACAGTGTCAATAAAAGTACAACAATTCAGATCTCGTTTTGCAAATTATGTATGTTATGATGGTGTTCGTGTTTTGTGTGAATGCCATGGCCATAAACGAAGCCCGAGTGAAGGCTCCTCGAGCGTATATTTAAATATTTAAACCAGAGTGGCATCAAACCGTGTCTGATTGTCCACCTGGTCGCTGTGTGAACTTTACTAAACATTTATCATTTTACCTCCATTGCAATGGAGATCTTGTGCTTTCATCAAATCAATCAACTCATCCAGCTTTTTACCCAGCGTGCTGAAAGGATTTACAGGACTAAAGTCTCCTCCTGAACAAGACTCTGACGAACACTTTCCTTCGTCATGGCATTGATCATGATCAGCCACGAGAGGCCCAGCTATGGAACATATTACAACAGCGTCTAACCAAAACTTCATCATGAAGGTACTGCTATCTGCGCATTAAATTAACAGACATATGACATTAGTGTCTTACTAATCAGACTTGTCAAAATTCAAGAAAATTCCATAACTCTTAAAATTTTGTGAAGAAGATTTCATTAGAAGAGTCAAATCACAAAATTTTTCTTTAATTCTAACGTTTGGACTGCACTAAATGATCTAGAATCAACTGGCTGTGGTAATGAAACGGTGTGATTTTTTTTTTGCTTTCGTTTAATTTGTTTCCGTACCTGTTTTTTTTTTTTCTTTTTTGTCTCAGGGACAACACGAAGATATATCATATCCACGTTCAGAAAAACTTAATTACTCAGAAAATCAGCAAGTAGTCAACAAAGAATATTCCTTAATTAAAAAAAAAAAAAAAAGTATACCTATCCAGGAAAGCATAGAATTGGAAAATGAGATAAGACTATTCTGCAAGGCATTACTACAAGGGACGTACATGCATGTACATGGAGTTTGAAAAAAGATCTTCTGTGTGCAGTTATACTAACCTGTTAGGCAGGATTACTAAATCACCTTCAAACGAACTACAGAACTAATCGAAATTGTTCATGTCTCCGTATTAACAAGTAGCAACAAGGAAAAAGTTGTCGTTGGACCAATATCGTTCTCTAGGGGCGTAACACGATTTATTTTTCGAAATCAGCCAATCAGTGATACCTTGGCGATTTATTCATAAAGTTGCGTGTGTTTAGACGAACAGCATCCTAATTAATCAACATCCCTATTGTTTGATTTTTCCGCATTCGCCTAATTGGAAAGGAAGATAGAAAAGCGTTGTAATTATAACTGCATTTAACATTTACAGCGGGGAGTTAATCGCTTTGTTTTGATCGTTTCTTTGTTTTGGGCCCGAACCACTTGCGCAATTTAATTTTAAAAACGACAAAAATAGCAGAGACGTGATGAACTTTAAAGCGAAAAACAAGTAACAATTTTAAGGTCATTTCAGCTACCTTCCATGCGGCTTCAAGCCCTAAGAAGTTAGTTTATCGCAAAGCATTATCCCACTGTTTAACTATTTGCCGTTGTGATTTACCTAGCGAAGGGTGGTGTAAGGATTTCTAATGATGCACCTCTGCGTTAATTATTTTAGGAGTGATTTTGCGGCATCTTTGTTATGCTTTCAAGTGTAGGGGATAATGGCTATTGAGCGCATGACGCTCAGCGAAAGGCTCTTAAGACTCTCGAACTGTCGTTTTCTTCTTTCTTTAATGACTCTGTTCTCCGGTACACAATTCTACTTTATATAGCAGTAGTTGGCCATGATTTTTTTTTCCAATACATATACCAACAGATTAATTTCTCTAAGAATAATGGCAAAATTTTAGCCTCAAATATCCAGAAAGAAGTCAGAAAGCGTTTTAAAAGATGAGCTTGTTATTGTTTGTGGTTCAAAGTTACGTTAAAAGCTACACTGAAGTGAAATTGTTTGTTGGTAGACAGAGACTATCGACTGGAGATTGAAACGTACTTCTCCACTGCTATTCTGATAATTTGTTGTGACGCAATCTCGTATAGTAATTACGAAGTAATTTGGCATTTGAATTATCATTTTTCTGACTAACTTAGAGCTGGCTCAGGGACGTGCTTTGTTTTTCACCCACGGTTTGCTTTTGATTATAGGTAATTTCTATGGTCGAGCAATTTCGTTCTTCTGTTTAATCCCTGTTTATGCTATCACGTAGGTATAACAGCTTTTAATTAACTCTACGGCTTCACCAGCGAGGGCCACTTAACCTAACTATAGATTAAACTTAAACACGGTAAAAAAAATTTTAAAGAGTAAAGGTTGGCATTGCCTCTGACGATGTGTGACGATGTGCCTCTGACGATGTGTGACGAATCCTTCATTTAAAGGACCTCAAGGCGGAAAAGGTTATGCAAACAAAATCTGCCATCGGCCGTTGTTTTGGTAAATCAGGGGACATCAAGATTTCGCTTGAAGAGCCGACAGTTGTTTGAAGTAAAGAGATTCTTTTCCAGGGTTTGTTACGGATAAGCTTCCTGGACAATGATCGCAAACGTTTTCGTTGACCAAATGCTATAGGCTGAATCGAGAGTGTTTTACAAATTCGGTTTTACCAAACAACGGTTCAAGTTGTTGAAGGAACCACTCCTAAAAAAATGGTGACTAAATTCGGTTGCGTTAAGTGATCTCTACGGGGAATGGACCAGTAAATAAAGGTTGACCACTAAAGACAGGTTCCACAGAATAGGGGTCAATTGTAAACCGATAAAAATCGCAATTTAATGCCTTAATTCACCACTTAATGTTCAAAGCCTCACTAAAAAACATTGCTTAAAAATTGATTTTGGGAGGAAAAAAATCTGGATTGAATTTTTCTTGAAAGATTATGCTTGGATTTAGTTGAGTGGTCCCGCCTCAAGTGACTGTTCAATACAGATGGAGGTCAACAAAGAAAGGCTGTTAGGGCTCAGTGAAGGGTGATATAATAAAGGTGAATATTACATTAATTATGGGTCGCAATTTTTGGACTTTGACGACCGACCACTTAATATAGGAACGGACCGCTTATTACGGTGACGACTATTCAGGTTCGACTGTACCCAGAAAATAAGTAAGAAGTAAACAATAAATATTGATTAACTAAAACGATTATCATGTATCAAAGACTTGGGAACAGTTTTAAGATAAAAATGCTCTGGAAGGTCAACGGTATATTATGCACGGGGTGTTAAAAAAAAATAATCTGCGTGCAGTTTACATACTAACCTGGATAAGTACGATGACCAAACAACCACTAAACAAACTGATGTCACCCAAAAAAATGAAGTAAATGACGTCGATAACCCGCTTATGTCTCCGTATTTATCACGCAGCAACAAGGAAAAAATGAGCTTTGAGCCAATATCGTTTCTTAGGGGCGTTAAGCAATTTAATTGTCGAAATCAACCAATAAGTGATAACTTGGTCAGTTTAAACCGATAGTTTGCGTGCGAATTTCAAACAGAAACGTGTAATAGCCTGCCTAATTTACCAACGTGTTGTCATTTTTTTCCGCATTCACGTAACACAGTGACGCCCGCTTGCACGTAGATGCACAAGAACAAAAAAGGGCAGGAAAGGGGAAAATGACAGCGCCAGTCGTCGCAAAAAGTTCTACACCTGTAAACAATATTTGACAGCCATGAAATTTTCCTTTCCTATTCTTTGCATCATGAGGACTATTTTTTTTTTTTTATCGATCGGCTGATCTCTCTTAACTGACACCGTGATCTAATCGATTCTCATGGCTTGACATCCTCCGTAAAATCTCTTTCTCCCTTTCTTTCGCGGGCAAAGATTTGTCGACTTCATTCGAACATCGCACATCGTCCAAGGCCATGCCACCCTTAAATGGCTGTCTTTGATCACCCACCTGACGTTTCACCTAACCTGGTTGATGTTGTAGTTGTTGTTGTTGTTTCTTTTCAGCTTTAAGACTACTCTAGTTGCTTTCGGTCATTCGACCACAATGCCTGATTTGATGATATGCATGAGAAATTTTGGACTCAAGAGTTATCCGTTTCATCACAAATCTAGCTTCTCTTACTAAAGTTACTCGTATGTGATAGATGTGAAAGCTGTTTAATTCAATTAGGGTAATCTAAAAATATTAGAAACTTTACTGTGCATTCTTAATTGCCTCTACGCTCTGCCAGTAATTACGGTACGAATCGACAAGAAATGGTGCAAAAATAACCAAATAAAAAAACAAACAAACATACAAACAAACAAAAAAACAACAACATGACAATAAAGAAAAAAATAGCAACTTTTTACTGCGGCTGTTTGTACACACTACGGTACATCGACTGTACAAGTTACTGGAGTGGAAATTAAACAAACTGTCTTCAGCTCTTATTGTACTACTTTTGAGTAACGCGCTTACCTCTCAACGGTTCTTTTTTTAAGGAAACTAAGGATCGCATTTGGAGATAAAATAATAAGAGAATTATTAGTCACTCTCGTCGTAGAATATCGTGCCATATTTACTCAACTGTGCCCAATCGTTGATTAGTCATTTAGAGTGGGTTAAAAGCATAAGTTCACTGAATTCTTTCCCGCTTGCTCAATACAAGAAATTTGCGATCTTTTTTCTCTTTGAAACACCTGAGAGCAGTCCTTCAGGAATAAACCGCGAGTTACGTGTTTTGTTCTAAATTGATTCCTTGAAGATGAAAGCGTCCTTCGGAATGCGGAGTTTTAATAATTGATCTAAATTGGTCGGACTATCGCGAGGCGAAAAACACGAAAATGTTTTCTCTTAGACGTACGCTAAATGCGTATTTCCTTAACACGTTGGGAGTTGATAATTTTAAAGAGACAGGCATTGTCTACCGCTATAATACAGTTACTTTGATCGATATATTTTTTTTTATCAACTTTATCAACTTTTTAATAAAATCGGTTTAATTTGACGTTTCCAGCAATCATTATCAAGTGTCAAAGATCAGTCAGTATTATTAACAGTATCAACGATATCCTTTTACACATAGCATCTCATTAGTATATTTTCCTTAATGTGTACCACAATTTTTATGGAATTAGTTTAGACAATTTGGTCCTGGATCAACTAATGATCTCCCAACTTTACTTATCATTCTTATCAATTGTCTGTTTGATATTGTATCGATATCGTAGAGAGAATTTCTGTCTCGGTCACTCACAGGAGTTAAGGGGTCATTCTTTGAATCCCGTATTCTTCGTCCAAATTAAATCATTATAATCATTAGTGACAAGCACAGTTCTTTTATAAAAAATCTCTTGTCAAAATTAAAACGAAGCTAATTTGCTTCTGCGTACAAGAAAAGGATAAGGACGATCTGTGTGATCGATACGAGTTACAAATCTGCGTCCAAATCCTTTGTGTTCTGCAACGCGTCGACGGTTCGTGAAGGTAGCATAGTTCAAAGTTCATGTAAACAACGTATTAATCGTAAGTTATAATTAGAGGCAGTTAATTGTTATCGGAGCAATTTGGCGCGCTTTGATATGTGTGTTTGGTTCCTCGTTATTATTCAGACGAGTAGTTATTAGGGCTGTCAATGAAGCGCACTTTGTTTTTTATCCCAATTTTTACTCAGTTTAGATTGTAAGTTTTCATGCATGGGGAAGTTCTTCTGTCTCTTCTGATGTTAAATGGATAAAGTATTTCACTTAGCAGTCTCATGAACTAGAGAACCGGCACCGTGATCAAAACTGTTGAAGAGCTAAATCTCTAACGGCCACATTGTGAGTGAACACTCAGTTTGCTTCTACAGGTGAATTTTTCATGTCGTCCCCAAACTTCTTCTCGTTGTCAGTCACATAAACAATTTTCACATACCTCTCGCTTCACGTGACGTCTTCAGAGATTATATAGCTCTTTTTGGGACACTCCTACAGATACGAACGGCAAACTCAAGAGATGCAGCTGCCAACCCAGTCAGGGGCACGTCGCTGTATAGTCCTTCCACTTGCATTGTCGCGTACTTCCCAACTACGGGCACTTATCGCCACTGACAGATGGAGTGGGCAAAAGCGATCAAATATCCATTAAAACAGGCGACTTAGCTAAGCAAAATGTTTCGAATATAAAGTTGGCCAGGACCATTTTTATCTGAGGGGAGAAGGTGTTGGTGAAAAGAAAGAACATTTTTTACCCCTCACGAAGGCAACATTAGCTCGGCCGAGTCACTCAGGTGAAAGAACAACACTTTTAGATGTGCTTCGCATTCAATTGATAACCTGCTCGTCTGCAGCTTAGAAAAACAGTTCCAAAATGTCGTTTGTAAACGATGGAAGCTCATCAAATCGGGCAGAGTAAATTGAATCCTTGTATAACCTTGAAATCGTTTTTACTTTTGTCTAATAATTACAAATGCTATGGTTTACCATTCTATGTTCTCCAACGAGCACAAAATATTGGAATAATGATCTAGCCTGAATGAGGTAAAAAGTTTCAAATAAGTGCGCACGCTTCCTGTCGTGCAACTCGTGTTACTGCACCAAAATGTAGCCCAGGGCTTTAATGGTCTTGTCTCCATTATCTCCTCCGTGGCGTACCACGTCCCCACAAGACACGCTGTCTTCAGGATAACCTCCAGTACCAAGTCCGATCCTGGAATCACAGCTACCACAGTCGTTTTGCTCGTTAGCAGCGATACCAATTCTTGCCCTTGAGTGGCGACCACTGCTTCCCTTAGCGTTGAACCCCTCTATGTTGCAGTTGCGCTGCAAGGAAGCGTCAGAGCCAATCAAAGTCTTCCATGCATCACGACCCAGTGAGGTAGCACGATGTTGCCCATCAGCGATCAGTGAGTGCAGAGAGTCCGCCTTTTGATCGATTTTTAAGAACTTTATTTGACTGCCAACCTTCATACCGACACAAATTTTAGAGAACGGAGTGTCCCAGTAGGTCGGTAACTTTGTCTCTTGTGAGTCAAAGCCAGTCTTTCCTCCCTGAGGGTTGAGCGTGTTCTTGTCACTCCACAGGGCTTTGTCGTAGGTAAAGGTATGCTAGAAAATTAAAAAACAAAGTCAATTGGTTATGTTTAAAAAAGAACGATGAATAAACCTCAGTTAATCGAAATTTCTACCAATAAATGATAGGGAAAACAAAAGGAACTTTGACTCTCATAACTTCTCACAAAGGTCTCGTGCAACACGAACAACATGGTTGTATTTCCGAAACGCGTCTAAATTTTATATTGAATAAAGGCTGATAGTTTCTAAAGAAACTGTTTGGGGCTGCGTCGGTGGGTGTAACGAAATAATTTGAATATATCAACAAAGTTGAAATGGTATATTGGCCACCGTTACGATTATAAAAGCTGACGTTTCGAGCGTTAGCCCTTCGTTAGCCCTTTGAATATATCAACAAAGTTGATATATTCAAATTATTTAAATTTTATATTGTACATGTTTAAATATTCCAATTTCTTTACAGTCAAGAATGGTTTCGGAATACTCGCACTACATAGTAGAAGGAAAAAGTTCTGGGGCTATTAGAACAAAAAGTTGTTTTTTTTTTCTCCCTGAGGCCATTGCTACCAAAGACCGTATCTTATACCTTATTTCCGTCCATCTTCATGACCATGGTCCATCCACCTCCCCCACAGCTTCCGAGATCAGTCATGTGACAGTACACTTGAGTCTTTTGGCCTTCAATTTCCAGTTCGTAGGCCTTGTTTCCATCGGCCCTAGATAGTTTAAAAATAAGGATGGAAATAAATGTAATAACAGTTAAGATTTTGATTGTGTGGGAAAAGAAAAGACCAAAAAATGAAAATAACCATATTAAACTACTCAAAGAGTTAAAGGCTGCTGAAATTTTGTGTCAGAATTTTGAAGTTGCCAATATAACGATATATTATAAAATGTAATAAATTGGCCAGATCCAATCATGCGAACAAAGATTTAGAACTATGTTTGCTGTCCCTGGGCTTCTGAGCGCTTGTAAACTTCCTTTTCTCCCTTTTTCTTCCCTTTTTTATGTTTTTAAAAACGTTCCTGACCTTTATCGAAGGTCTTGTTTCCAGGAGCTATCTTCTTTCCCACCCCCCTGATATAACAGCAAAGTTCAGAGTCTTTGCGCAGTATTTTAGTGATTTCACTTGGTGAACTCTAAACAACAAAAAACAAGACCATTTAACAATTATTCCACGAGCGCGCGTTGGATATGAGATGATAGATAGCCAACGAGGCGTGTAGCGCCGAGTTGGCTATAATTATCTCATATCCAACCAGCGCTCGTGGAAAAATTGTTTTATTAAAAACGTTAAATTCAATATCAAATTTTACTAAATTTTTAGCTACCTTTTAATTCTAAGCTGACGCGAGCGCTTACCATATTTGTAGATTATGGTATATTGGCTCATATACCATAATGGCTAAGCAAATAAAAATTCTTGAATTGCATTATCCAATGATCCGGTTTTTAATAAAATAGATTATCCTCGTAACTTTTGAAACTTAAAACATCTTGTGGACAGCCCTATTGGTTAAACTTTGTATTCCCAACCAAAAAATGGAGAGGTAAAGTTTCAATAATTTCCCCAAAATAAAATATTCTAAGCAAGAGCTTTGCAGTTTATTGTCAAACATATGTTTTCTAACTGAGTGACTACAGCTGATATTATCAAATGTTACTGTAACATCTTTGCTTATATTGAAAACAGAATATTCTAAGCAAGAGCTTTGCAGTTTATTCCCAAACATATGTTTTCGAACTGACTGCAGCTGTTATTATCAAATGTTATTGTAACGTCGTTGCTTATGTTCAGTTTCCACCAGTGACTTACCGTTTAGCTTCAAGAATTTCCTTGCACGACTCAAATGGTCCAGGGGCTGGTTTAGGTGTTGGTTTAAATCCCACACCTAAAATTTGCCATTAAAAGAGCTGGATTAACCTTTTAAACCCTAGTTCTGTTCTCTATACATTTATACTGTTCTCTTTACATTTCCTAAGGTTCCGTTAAAGAGAATTTATTAAACAACCAAGAGCTTCTGTAGTGAGAGGTGAGCATTTCCTTTATTTTGGTCACCTTAATGTATGATTCAGGATGATTTTGAGGCTCTTCACTCTTTAGGGTCAAAAGATGAATAAAATTTTGCCCTATGTCAACGAGGCTGATTGCATTTTTTCGTATTTCTCATGTTCAAGTTCACTCACTACTAATTTACTTATTAACTAAGGTTTTCTGCCAAAATTTAAGTTTCCAAAATTTTGTAAAGCTGACAATGTTGTGTCTCCAAAAAGTGTTTTTCTTAATCGTAAAGAGTTATTGTCCAGTCAAAGGTATTCCTTACTCATAGAGCCATGTTCAACTCTAAGCGACATATTAATAAATCTTCTAGTTCAGGCTCCAAGTTTTGATCTTTACCATGATCGTGTTGTGTTCGAGAGAAGATATTGTGTAGGATTAGACAAACTTTTGAAAACAGTACGCTTTCGAAAACGATAAAAATGGACAATGATAACTGCCTTCGCCCCTCGCTTTGAAAGTACCACCCACTCTTAGCCTTATCACTTTGTATCTCTATTTTTTTTTGTTTTATAAATTCCATTGTGGTGTCATTTTTCAAAACTAGAAATATTTTTTTTCCCCGATAGATAATGGGCTAAAAAATAAGGGTACTCCTATGCAGGAATCAGTACAGGAGCAATCGAAATTATCATTTTACCTCCATTACAGTAAAGATCGTTGACTCTCAAATACTCAAGGATCTCATCTAATTTTTCATCCAGCCTGGTGAAAGGATTTGAGACATCACTTTTCGAAGAGCAACTGTTACTACATTCACTGTCGTCACGATCACTATAGTAACCAGCTGCCAGAAGTGCAGCCACGGAAGAGAGCACAGCTGTGACAAACCACAGTTTCATCATGGGGTAGTTGAATCTGAAACCAAAAGAAAAGAATTGGCACAATGTTCAATTGAGTGTTGAAAGTAATTCAGGATTAAATTTGCTTTGCTTAACTTTGTTCTGTGATAGGTTGAGAAAACTTGCACTATCGTCGCGACCAATCAGATGCAAAACTAATACCAATCACGGCATAGCCACCCGCGTTTAGGCCTGTCTCGATTGTGTTCGTAAAATTCTAGGAAGTTGCCCCTTGAATCGCCAAAAATTTTCTAAAACAATTGCCAAATACCAGAAAGTCGCTAACCAAATTTTAAAAGTTGCTACCTAAATTCCAAAAGTTGCAACCCAATTTAAAAAAATTACTACCTACATTTCTTGATATTTTCAAACGACGTTAATTGAAGGTTTTATTTTTTTGTTGTTCACTATGCATTACTAACACTCGTCAAGAAAAGATTGCTTGAAGCTGAGCTATGAAGGGCTGCCCGTAAATATGGGCGAAATTAAAGGATATTCATAAGTCCGAATGAATTAATAAACACATGCTTCAATTGGCATCATACCAAACGAAACGTTGTCAAGTGACAGGCAATGTGATGAAAAGGTTGATAGACACTCGAGAAATTTTCATAAACTGAAGTTTAAAAAATTAAAAATCGACTTCTCCCAAACAAAGTCAAATATTTTTGAAATGAAATGAAAATTCTAATAAAAAGGCTGTGTTCATTGAGTTTTAACAATTTTTTTCTCTCTTCTTTTTTACATTCTATGGCATTCTTACAAGATCAGCACTGCCAGGTTTTAAAGGGACAGTGTCACCGTTGGGCATGCACCCTGAGATGCAGCAATGCTGAGAATGTTTCGAACAAAGCGCCATCTTAGATTTTGAAATTCATGCAAATATACGGCTTTGCACGTATTAAATCTGCATAAATTATTCTGTCTAGTGATCAATGAATACGCTCTCTCGATCGAAATATTTCGAATACACAAACTTCTGCGACGTTAACAGAGTCTACAGCAACGGTAAGAATTCACTGCCCGAGAGTGAACAATTGTTTCGGAATTAGTTGATTTTGCTGCACTTTTTGACTACGTTGCTTCGCTTTTACTCAGAGGAATTTTGAAAATGATAGAACAAAGTTTTGATTTGGCTACCTGATGTTGAAATGAATAGGACCTTATCTTTCTAACCCTCTGCCGTTTTTGTTCAAAGTCTACCTTCCCTATTCCTCCTAATCATTGTTTACGAATCTTTAAAACACGAATTGGTGGGTAAATGCCCCCTTCAAAAGTTATATTGGCGAGAATACCGTTTACGCAACACAATTTTTATTATCTTTCAAAGACTGCGCTCTATTCTTAAACATATATCGGTTCTGTCCTGGTGTACCGGTTCACAAGGGAATTACCATTGTTCTCTCTTTGTTTAGGAGCTATCGGTTAGCTATTGTGTATTGTTTGGTCTTTTGTATTGGCTCTTGTGAACCGGTACACGAGGACAGAACCCATATTTCCCATGGATAATTACATAACAATTACTGCGCTTCATTCAATCTCACTGATCTAGCTTCTGCTCATCTCTTTATTCAGTGGAGTCTTGACTTCTGCGTGACCATCAAATCTTAGCTTTCAGTGTTACTTTCTAAAGTCTTTGACTCACAAGATGCAAAGATAATTGTGTGAAGCTGTACGGCGGTATAGCTGAATTCTGGCCAAAATACACTTAAAATGTCAATTCTAGCATGCAGCAAGTAACAGCAACAATCTAAACAAGAAAACAGTTTATTGAAATGAAATC